AGTAATAACTCTCAGTGCCTGAACTGGATCCTGTATTTGGATCATAGTTTGCTGGCTGAGGCAAAAATCTGTAACTTTATTTCATTGCAGAAGCCAAACGATGAAGAATTTCCTAATTATAGGAACGGGTGGGATTCTGTGTTGCAGAGGGAATCTACTTGAAAAGCAATTTAAGTGGCTGAAAACAATATAACAGAAAAGTTTACAAACCACAGTTAGATTTTATTCATAATATTGTAAAAGAATACATTCTTGCATTATTCAAAGAGGGCTGTATTTGTAGCTGTGACAGAATTCCTCTGACTGTATGTCAGTGTTTAGAGGGGTGTGAATGGCAGTGTGTGTGTATAAATGTCTTCAACCCTGTGAATGTGTAGTGATGCACATTTTTGTGAACATCCTCTTAAAAAGATCCGGTTAGCCCATTTCATTAGTCAGTGACTGGACAGGCCTCAGTGAGCCCATCGGGCTTTATTAGTTCATGCTGCTGTGGGTAGACACACATCACAGAACTTGCACATAAAAGCAAGTGAGGAATGTTAAGACGCCCTCAAGACAGGCAATTTCTCACTTTAATTGTTTGATTTTTGTAGCTTTTCAGTTTTAGGATAAGTCTGAAATAAGAATATAAAAGCAATAGGGTTTGGGTTCTCTGGACCCTTTGGTTCTCAAAATTCAAAGCTTTGGTTGTTAAGACCTGGGGGAAATAGCAATTAAAATCACTCAATACACTCAAGATAAATTACACTAATGGAAAACAAATGCTGCATCAAAACAAATGCTAAAGATATAGTCTCCACATAGAAGTACATCTCTTGTGTGTGTGTTTATATCTCAGTTAAACTCCAATTTGCTTAGGAACTAACTAACTGATGTTGGAGGGCGTGAAAATCTGGAAATCTAAGAATTGTTTGGTAAAACCTGGTGCTGTTTTAGGCAGGAATACACAACAAGTTTTAAGAAGTCAGGGATTCAGACTTCGATATTTCTATATGAAAACTCAAAATGTTATTTTAGAATCAATATGAGCAGCATTAATGATTACCACCTGTATTATATGTGCCACCTGCTTTTACAGCAGGCATTTTTTATTTGTTCTTCCCAAAACCTGTTTTTTTGTTTTAACTTGTGCACTACATTAGTAGATATGTGACCACCTGGAAGTAACAGCCACTTTCAGTCAACCCAAGTACAGTATCTACACTGTACCTCTTCACTAAACCAACCAGAGGGTATTTCGATAAAGCTTTGTAAAGCTTTATTTAGCCTTTATCAATATTCAAAACTTTCCTCAGTAAATTATCCTTAAAAGTCATTTTTGACCTGCTTCGCGGCTGCAATAGGAGCTAATTTCAAATCCACTCTGCATCAAGGTATATGTACGGTCTACAAGCAAATTTCTCTAACACCTAAGAGGTAAATGTCTTCCTGTACACATGCTAAATCAAATAATTATAATGGCAGGTGATAACTTTAGCTTTCAGTCTTCTATAAATGTCAAGGTACTGGGCAGTCATGAAAATGGCCAAATTAAAGAGTTTTTAACAACTTGCTCACAGCTACTATTCTTTGCATTTGTAACATCAAAACATAATTCTAATCACAATCAACTGTTTATCTCCAACCTCTGGTGTATGTAGAAAATACATTTAAAAGGGCAGTTATTACTTTTATTACTCACCCTGTCCTCCTCCTCTCTGAGGTCAGGCATGGTGCTGATACACAAGCTAACAACAGTGACAGCAACCATGATCACTGACAAACAGGCGAAGATCTTCCCTGGTAGGCCTGACTGAGGATTCTCCACCATATCTCTCAGCCAGTTCATCACTTTCCTGTATTTTGTTTCCTCCACTGGGACTCGCTGCATGGCGTTTCTCTGCCTACGCTCCTCCTCCCGTCTCTCCTTCTCATGCACCTCCTCGATGCGTGTGTACATCTTTCTCTTGCAGCAGCGCTCCATGTAGGCCATCTCGACCCCCCAGTAGTTCAACTCGTCATGCAAGGACAGGACACACATCTCTCGCAGAAGCCGTAGTTTCCCTGCTGCCAAGAAGTTAAGGATGACTTTAAAGGCAGATGGAGAGCGGTCAAAGAAGAACTCCTTCCTGGCTTCATCATAGTCGTCACATACGCTGGCAATTTCCTCAAGTGACCGACAGCCACAGAGGCGACCTAGTCTTGTGAGGGGGAACTGCTGGAGAGTGGTCCAGGGGAAGGTGTAACGATTTCCACCCACATTAATCACAGCCAATAAGGTATGGTCAACGGAGACAAGGTCTTCTGGCCTGCGGATAAACTGTGCCCTCTTGTAGTACACTCCCTGGAGGTAAAGAACGAGGCATTAGAATTTGACACAGAACCACACCCACCAGCTTAGTTATCAGATGCACATCAAATCCGTGTTGGACTCCACATTAATTTTGAGTGGCATAGCTACAACAAAGTGTCAAATGCTTCTCAGAGAGTTTGGTCCAAATTGGCATTACTGCATTAGAAAGTTGCTGCAGATCAATCAGCTAACATCAATGGTCAGAACCTCCTGCTCCATTTAAGAAACCAGTCTGAGCTTATCTGAGCTTTGTGAGATGGAGAATTATCCTGTTGGAAGACGGCAATAGAACAGGAGTCCACTCTTGCCATGAAGGGATGGACCTGATCGGTATCAACACTCAGGCAGTCTGTTAACTTTTGTTGGTACTGTGGTGATAAAGTCATACCAAGAATACCTTCTGTACACTATGATACCACCAACAGCCGGAGTCAGGGATACAAACTAGGATGAAGCCAGGCCTTCATGTTGCTTACACCTATTTCTGACCCACCATCTGAATTCTACAGTCGAAATCTGCTGCTGTAGCACATCTGCTTATGAGGTTTTATGTTTTAGGGCTGTTTTTGGTAACACTCTTGTTAATAACAGAGGTATCGAGAAAAACCTGTGGGCTTTGGAGCTACTGTTCTACTGTTTTCTATCATATGCAACTGCTCTTCCCTAAGATCTACAATTTTTGTTTTTTCAGAAAACTTTTCATAAACCTAAGACCTGGTTTAGGGTTAAAATTCCAGTAGATTCCTCTTCAGAAATACCTAGCACCAAAAACCGTCATACTCTCAAAGTAACTTCTTTTTCATTATGCTGCTAAGTTTAACTTCAGCAGGGCATATTCATCACCTTCATAGTAGCAATCTAACACTTTTAATTTGTGCCGATTAGCTGTTTTGAGTAAAAGAGCATGGCAGGAGTACCTTATAATGTGCCTGATAGGTGTGTTATTCTACTTTCATTTGGGGAAGTTTTGACATTAACATACCTTGATGGTCTCAGTTTCTGGAATTTCAGTGAAGATCCGATCCAGACTGCTGTCATCGCTGACCGAAAGATTGCTGAAATCATGGTTGGTGTTGCTGATGATGGGCATGGCAGCATTTGGAAGGCTCGCTGCTCCACAGCGGGCCAATCAGAGCAGGATAAGAACAGGAGTCTTTGGAGGCCAAAGTCTTTCTACACTTCTAACCAGAAGGTTTATTTCAGCCTTCAGTGATCTTAATTAAAGATCAAAATATGTAGCCAAAAGAGAATCGGGGGTAGTACTGATGTCTCTAATCAGCTAATTTCTAGGTGACTTGTATCTAATAGCTGCAACAGATGAGTCCGACGAGTCAGGAAGGCAGGCAAGTGTCCAGGTCCACTGTGTTGCCCTAACAGGATTATGAAGGGCACAAAAACATGATGGCATCATGCAGACGCTGGAAGAGGAATAAGTAGAAAGAGGTCAGAGTGGGTCCTGATTAAACAGTCATCAATAAATCCCTAACAATGACAGGCTGGAGTTTGTCAGCCATAAATAGCTTCCCATGCTGACATGAGGATACAGTAAATTCATTTAACCACAAATCAGGATCCAATGAAGACAGCCTGACTTGTTTAGTTAGAGTGGGTGATAAAGGAAAAGAACATTCAATAGTGTTGTTCACACTAAGAGTAAATTAGTGGCAGCTTTCCTCCAGACAGACTCTGAATCACAGTTTAGAGGAGAATCTTACTGCCAATTTAAAAGCTCTGAAACTTATTGGCACAGTTAGATGTTTCGCTTCCCACATTACTTTGTTGTGCAAATGCACTAAACAGTTCTTGGTCACAATGTGAGTGTTATTCTGCCAATGTTCCAGTCCAACTGCCTTTAACCTTAAACCCTGTCTTTTATTCTCACATTTTGCAACTGAAGCCTAAAATCATCCATTTGAACTACAATTGATTTTGCACTCTGCGGCTATTGCACTGGGCATCAACAATTTCCAATGTGAGGGAATGTGAGGTCACCTTTAGGAAAATAAATCTTCATTTTCTTCCCCTTTGTTATAACTTGTAGTTTGTTTAGACTGAGAGAGCAGCTTGTGAATAAAATCAACATTTGACTCTGGCCTCAGCCTCTCAGTTTAAAAATTTATGCACATACACTTTTTCCTGATCTAAAAAAACAACAGTTTTCCGCCACTGTGACTCCTGCCTCACAACATTTAAGGGTCAACATCATCTTCCCCTACCAGATCAGTTCCCCTACCGATCTGTGCTGCTTGGAGTCCTGCAAGTCCACTCTCTTCCTGTCCATGCTACACTGTAAACCTGAATAGCTGAATAGGTTATCAGAACTCAAAAATGTTGAAGCAATTAGTTCGCACAACGTTACTGAAGCATCCATGCAATACCTAAGTCAGATGAATTATTAATATGTTGAGGGGCATTAGAGGAACAACATGCAGCAATTACCATGCTATTTATTTCAACACACAACTCTATTTGATAGCAATCTGACAACTATAAATCTGCAATCTAGCAACATTGAACAGTCCTCATTGAATCCAATTGCATCCTCTCTTATGGTGTGGAAGCATTAATCACACCCATTACCAATACTATGTCAATAGGCTCTTATTACAATTTGCACAAGTACTTCCTTATTAAAGTAAATTGATAAGCTTAATTAAAACACAATTAATCACTTTGAATTTCCAGGTTTAGTCAGATATTCATATCACAGAAAACAGAACAACAAATCAGGCTCGCGTCTGTATATGCAAACAATGGTAAAATAAGGTCAGAATTCAAATCCAAATGAACTTTGCATTTATATCAAGAGAGAAGAACAAGTCTGCTGTCTCTGACCATATTAACCACAGGCATCAAATGTGTGAATGCATAGAGCAGACCAACCAACGAGGCTTCACTAACTCAGATCCTACAGGATGAGATCCTTCACTGAAGGAACCAATAAATCATGCTGCTCATATCTGGTTTCCCCCTCAAAGAAGAGAAGCTCATGATAAAGTGCATATTAATCAGTCCTTACTCTACAGACTTGAAGTTTTCTTGAGAAAAGTTCAATAAGAAAGATATTTTTAGCACGCTATTCTTAGACGCTGTTTCTACAGATAGGGACACAAAGGACAGGATTAAAGACGCTGCATCAGGATGTGTTGGAAAGAAATTTCAGGCAGAAATTAATTAACTATGTGCGTTCTTATTTAGCAAGTCACACCTTGGTCCTCCTTGTGGAGGATTACCAATAGAATAGGCAGTAACTATAACTTTGGCAAGTCACATACCTTTCAATGAATGCCAGGTAAAATAGTTTATACTTGATTTTGTATGGTTGTTTGCTGCAAAACATTACATGGAGAGGATGTGAACTGTGCCGAATCAGAACATTATTGCTGGAATCTGAGGTAATACACACACACAAAAAAAAAAATACTGCAACCGTTTTTGGCATTAACTTAATCATATTTGGTTACTTTAACACAAGTTTTTTAAATTTTAACAGGGTAGGATATAAAACAATTGTGTTAAAGTAACCTAATATAATTAAATGTCAAAGGCAGTCGCATTATTTTTTTTTAGTGTAACTGTACCATTTTCTACTAAAGATTATAACCAACTACATTTCAGTTTGAAATTGTTTCAAAGCTCAGAGGCTGAAATGCTTCCTGAAGAGATATTTGTAAGACTATTTTAATTATGTTTAAATAAGCTTTATAAATCGAGTTTTTCTGTGGTGTAAAAAAAATGTATGACTAACTAATGTTTAAACATTGTTTAACACTAACAATCTTTGCCTGTAAACCAACTGGTTCAAAATAGTTTAAATGGTCAGCCTTTAACTCAGCTGTACAACTAAATAAAATACTCAGTGAGAACCACTTTATGTGATGAATTGGTACAAATCGCCCTTCCTCTAAGTAATGCCAAAGCTCCATTTACTGTAAAGGTGATGCGACAGAAACGCTCTCTGCAGAGATCAGCCAGCTGGAACTTATGGAGCACAGCTTACCATTTTGTGTCCCGCACTCATCTCCTGATGTCCGAATGAAATCTGAGGGAAACCCCTGTATTGCTGCGTGATCCCACCGCAGCCTCTTCAACTCCGCATCCGTCTGTCAGCCGGCAGCCTCAGGCGCCTCGTGCCATCAGGAATGAGGAGGAAATCCCTGACATCTGCATCTTCCAAGCTGAAGGGAGGTGCGCAGCCGGTCTGAACGCAGAGGTGGTAGGAAACAGGTGAGGGTCGGTGCGCTGAAAGTGTCCCGTTCCAGCCCACCCAGCGGTGCTACGGGAGGGGGGGAGGCATAGGGGAGGGGAGGGGGAGGCAGCTTGGAGCAGCTGTGCTCAACACCGGTGCCCCGAGTAGCTGTTCAAGTTTGCGTAAAGGTGATGGAAGGCGCAACGGTAACCAGAGACATCCGGAGTTCATCTGACCAAGAGGTTTAATTAGAAGTAAAGGCGGCGAGTGTCTCCTGGGGTCTGCGGGATAAATCTGCTGATGGATGGATTCTGTGGAATTCAAGGACACAGAGGAGATGTTGCGCTCTTTGTTTATATCCCTCAAAGCATTGTGCGCAACAGGGGGCGCGGTTTCCTCTGAAAATAATGTGCAAAATGGAAAGAAAAGAAGAAAAGTCTTTACAGAACACATTTTCTGTAGGGCTAAATTAGAAGATGTTATATTGGCTTATTAAATTTCGGATTTAAAAAAAAACTACATAAAAAGAAATATCAATTCATTAACTAAAAATCAAATGTAAATATCCAGCATTTATGGTAAGAAGGCTGAACAAGGAAATATTTGAACAGGGTTAACTTTGATAACATGGATATCAAACTGAGTGGGCAAGGTTTTAACTGACAAGATTGGCTTTGAGCAAGGAAGGAAAGGAAAGGAAAGGAAAGGAAAGGAAAGGAAAGGAAAGGAAAGGACAGGACAGGACAGGACAGGACAGGACAGGACAGGACAGGACAGGACAGGACAGGACAGGACAGGACAGGACAGGACAGGACAGGACAGGAAAGGAGGTGGGTAGAGAATAAGCTCTGGAACCCAGACCTGAAAAATACGCCAACAAAATTACAGACAATTGAGGACCAATTGCATTTTATGACCATGTGATGGTTGGAGCTGTTTCATGATGGACTCTAGCAGAGGGAAAAAAAGGTATAAATGATTTTAGTTTATGATGAATTCTTGTTTTGATTTGATTTGCAGGAATGTATGTAAATGAGGTGACTCTTGGGAGCCGGTTCATGCAGCCCACTCAAGCTGTGCTGCTGCTTTACACAGGATCTTCCTCGCTCTCTGCAGAATATTTCAAGCATATCCTGACAATTTAAGTGATCTATTAAAGCTACAAAACTACATTTCATACACGTCCTGCGGATGCCTCCAGCTTCTGCTTTAGACCCTCAACCAACCTACCCCCCCTAGAAATTATATCTGTACAAAGCAAAGGAAGCTTAAAATGTGGAGTTATAGAAAGAAATATATATTTGTATCCAACTGTTTATATGAACCTTTCAGCCTTAAGACAAGTATTGGATATGTTATGTTTATTGTGCATAGTTAAAGCACTTTGAGTGTACAATTGTTGAAGTCTACCACTGTGAATAAATAAATGTATAGTTGGAGCTAATTCATAAATAGAAATGAATTAAACTTAGTAACAGAGCAGCTTTAGGAACTTTTTCTGCAATTTAGTTAAAGGTTAAAGAAAAAAGGGACAGACGTCGTCTGCCTCTCCCCTGCTGGCTTCCTGGGTTAATCAGTTATGGGAATTATTTTCTACATAAGTCCGATATAAAAATACACAATAGTATTCGGTGTTGGTTCTCCCCTTTGCTCTTGATGCACTACTGAAGAAATCTTGTTATGTAAAAAAGCAGCATCCTGTCATTCATGTGGGATGGGCCAGATGAGTGGATACACAAATGCAAGTGAGGAAACTAATGAGAGCTAGAGATACTAGAGAACTCTGTTCAGCAGATGTATGAAGGACACTAATGTATGTTTCATACAGAAACAGTTGGCCATACATCAGATTGCATCACAAGAAGACACATCCCAGTATTCTAGGCTGACTTTGAAAAACCTTCACAAACATTGACAAAATTTGTCCATTAAAAACATTCAGAGGACCCTAGTCAGCAGAGTTGCAGATTTCTTTCAGTTTGCCCTTGAGAAGCAGCTCATTAGGTGCTCGTGCCTTTGGGAACAACTAAAACGAGCAAACACTTTGTCCTGCCTTCAAGGCTACAGGCAGAGCAGACAACACATTAGTGAAAGTGGAGATGGAAACTGGTAGAAATGGAAACTGAGGAGCCAGGTGGGGGGTCCCTCTGCATGTGTGAGTGTGCTTTCTCAGGAAAAAGACATTCTCCATATGGATTCCATCATTACTCATTAACCCACTGTGCAAAAGGTCTAATAGGTGTTTCCAACATGAGGTCAGACTCCTTTCATACTGAGCTGTTTGTTTTGCTAGTCGAGGAAATTTTGTTTTATAACCTGAAATACTAGGTGCTTTGGTGATGTTTTTATTTCAAGTTTTTTTATTATTTACATTTTCTATTGTGTAATTTACATGTACCATATGAAAAGGAGAATTTGACTGTCATACATGTTATGCACATGCAATTATTTTTGTATATTACCAACACAAAAGCACTTTAATGTGTTGCATAGCTATGGACAAATGCAAGTGAAAACACTAAGATAGCCACAGCCCAGACGGTACTGGCAAATCTTAGCCTGGCAGATTAAGAGTTTAATCCCTCACAGGCAAGAGGAGCAGAGAGGGGATCACAGCAGCTGGGCTCTTCTGGTCAGATGATGAGAAGTTTGAGGTGTGTGGAAAAGAGGAAGGGGGGGAATGACTTACTCAGCAATCTGAAAAATCACTGAGGGAAAATTATTTCATAAATGGTCATTCCAGTTGGTCCTGCATAACTTCTATTCTGTCTAAGCTCATTATCTCTTTCTGTCAGATGATTCTTTCCTTATATATCTTTGAGAAAAACATTCCTTGCAGTGGATATTTGAATGAAGTGATGAAGCAGATTCAGATTTAAATGAGAAGGTAGAGAGGATGAGTGTTGGCGAATAGGAGATGACTAAGACTAAGGCCCAGCCCCATTTCTCTCACTTGGTTCTTAGAACACTCCAGTGAGTTCCCTCCACAGTGAAGTACACTCAATGAGGGAAGTGCAGGTGAAGATTTTCTCCCTAAGAATTGGGACACCACTTGTAAAATTACATCCCAGCCCAGTAGATGGCATTAATAAATAGCCGTTTACACTTTAGTGATGTGTTCACCTACATCATGTGTAAACACAACCTGAGTCACAACCTTCTGCATGGAAAAACTGCCATACTCATAACTTTTCCCTAAACACATGCATAATATTGAACAACAAATATATTACAAAACGTAAAAGGTCAATTTATGAGCCAGCATGGATAAATAAAGATATCACAACCATATATAGTAAATTAATAGACAATCATGGTAATATAATTAGCTTATAACTTATAATTCTAGCATGCAAGAAGCACAAAGTGTTGGGAGGTCCCAGATTTCCCCAAAGTGGGAAAATAAAGGTATTCTATTTTATTCTATTCTATTCTATTCTATTCTATTCTATTCTATTCTATTCTATTCTATTCTATTCTATTCTATTCCATGTCTTCATTTTAATTAACAGCGGAACAAGACAATATGAGTAAAAGTACTCCTCTCTAAGGCAACTATGGCTCAGTGGGTTCATTTCGGTTGTTGTGTCCTTGAGCAGGACACTTCAACCACCTTATCTATGGCTAATAATCAGAGGGCCTAGTGGCGCCTAATTTATCTCAGCCTCACTTCTGTCAGTCTGTCCCTTGGCAGGAGTAGCTTGTAGCTTGCCACCATGGTTGGTTCTAGACAGAGGCTAACAGGGGCCAATGCGCCGCTAGATATGGTCCCCGAAGACTCAATACTAGAAACATTTTTAAATAATGATAAGCATTGGTACGGTAACTATAACTGATTGGTTCCTTGGACATGTTTTATGTTACACCTTTACACATTTTAACAATAGTCAAAAATTTAGGATGCTGCACCAGGGCAGTTGTGGGTGAGCGGTTAGGGTGTCAGACTTGGATCCCAAAGGTTACCGGTTCGACTCCCGACCCGCCAGGTTGGTGGGGGGAGTAATTAACCAGCGCTGTCCCCCATCCTCCTCCATGACTGAGGTACCCTGAGCATGGTACCGTCCCGCCACACTGCTCCCTTGGGGCGCCATTGAGGGCTGCCCCCTTGCACGGGTGAGGCATAAATGCAATTTCATGGTGTGCAGTGTTCACTTGTGTGTGCTGTGTCACAATGACAATGGGAGTTGGAGGAGTTTCCAACTGGTTCCATTATATTCATGCAGCCAACACATTTTTTTTAATCTCTGGGAAAGAACATGGTTTTCTTTTAAGGAAATAGATAACATTTATTTGTTTCACTCAATAAGCTAACAATATCAACAAAATACATTTTCTAGCTGATGGAAAAAGTCAGAAAAAAAGGAAGAAAGTTTGTGCCAATCCTCACTTCTAGCAGTGAAATGCATGAGGGTTTCAGTTATGTTTAGCAACTCAATAAGATCAAGATCTGGGCATCGACTAGGTCAAAGACTTTTCATTTCTTAATGTCAGCCAGCATATGAGGGATCTACTGGTATATTTATGTATTGATATATACATATATTAATCATAATACTCTAGTTGTGCTCCAGCTAACTTCTTTTCAAATCGTCTCACCTTTTCCTCAAGCTTTCTATGATATATTGAAGAATGCATAGTATTTATTTATGATGCTGACCAGGTCCTGCTTCAGATCAAAAAGCATCTACAGATCATGCAGTTTCATCCACATGCCAAATACAGGTCCTCTAAATGCCGTTGCAACAGGTTACATTGACTTTCAGGCCACACTCTTGGAAGCCATATCTGAAAATAAAGCTCAGAGCATATTGTGCAAGAGCATGTAATTTTGGCTGCGAAGAACTATTGATGATGATAATAATCAAAATTTATGCATCAGGAGACCACCTTATGGCTTTAGAAATTGATAGCCAAATATCTCCTAAACTTTTTAAGTTATTGTTTTAGAAATACCCTTCCTGGGGAGGTCTGATCATGCAAAACAACAGATGAGATTAACCTGAGCACATATACAGAACAAACACAAAAAAAATATTTCCATATATATACTATTTTATTTAAAACAATATGCGTTAAAGTAAAATCAGTCAAAAAACTCATAGTAAAAGAGGGAAAATACAAAGTAAATTTAAAACAATAACCAATAAACTGATGCAGTGATATCACTGTTCAGTGTGAAAGTATATGTAAAGCCACAAAGGTTTGTTTAATGTATTATCAGTGTGGCTAAATAAGCTTTGAAAGCAAACAAACAAACAAAAAAAATAAAAACAACAGCTTATATATGTTTAGACAACCAGTCCACAATAATAAAGAATAGAAAATAAA